CCCCCCCCCCGCCCCCAATATAGCTTTGACTATTAAGGGAGTATGGCCTAATTACAAGAAAAATCAGAAAATAAAATGAGTCTCCTCCTCCTTCTCGCCAAGAGATAAGCTCCTTAGTGACCTCTTAGTTCATTTCTGAGACATTTTAATGCACATCAGTGTGTGCGTATGTGCAAATGCGTTAATAAAAAAATGAGATCGTCCTTTTGTATAAACTGTTTGTCTTACGTACACTGTGAATGGCTTTGTGTGTCAATAAATATGCTTCGTAATTTCTGTAATGGCTATAATATCTCATCACCTGGATGAATCGTAACTTATTTAACCAAGTCCTCCTTATTTGGCATTTCAGTTGTTTCTGCTGGTTTGCCTTGATTGACCGCTGTCTGATCAGCATTGCAGTAGCTAAATCGTGCACACGAGGGCGGTTATTTGGTTAGGATAAATTCTCAGAAGTAGAATTATTAGACTGAAAGTGCATGCCCATGTTTGAAAAGTTGGACACGTGTTGTCAGACTGCCCTTCAGAAAGAGCACCTGTCCATGTGAAGTTTGAAAGTGCCTTCTGTCTGCCTAATAAAACTTGATTGGGATCTTTGAAGGTGTTACCTCTGCCGGGTAGAGAGATGTTCGTATTGCTCAAGAAGGAGAAAGAGCCAATCCCAGCAGCTCAAACAGCAAGGAGTCCCTTTTTCCATAATTAAATAACGTTTCTGCCCTCTTTGCTCTAAGCACTATGAACAGTAGAGAAAATGACATTTCTCTCTGCCTTTGGAAGCTTCGAGTCTGCATTGTTATGGTTCTGTCCACTCTCCCTGTCAGAGGACAAGCCCTGTCTCTGGAAGATACCACTGATAAGGAATGTCCGGTTTCAGGTGTAGTCCAGCCAAACACATTAGATAATGGAAATATACTGATATACTCACTTGGCCATCAAACACATTTCCCTTTGGAAAATTGGAATTGACACCACTCGGCCAGAAAAATCTGGTTTGCAGGTTCATGAGATCTGCAGACATGCCCAAGAAATTAAGTAGGAGTGTGCTAATTATGATGGGTGTAGATGGAGGGATTGTTCTCCCGCTCTTATCTGGTGGCACAGATAAGAAATAAAAGTGATTTCTGTGCATTGGATCAAAGTAAAAATTGGGTTAGATGGCATGTGATTTGATCTTTTATTTATTTATTTTTTAATGTTTTAAAATGTTTTTATTTTTGAGAGAGACAGAGTGTGAGCAGGGGAGGCACACACACACACACACACACACAGAGAGAGAGAGAGAGAGAGAGAGAGAGAGAGAGAGAGAGAGAGAGAGAGAGAGAGAGAGAGAGAGAGAGAGAGAGAGAGAGAGAGAAAGAAAGACACAGAATCCGAAGCAGGCTCCAGGCTCTGAGCTGTCAGCACAGAGCCCAATGCTGGGCTCAAATTCATCAACCATGAGATCATGACCTGAGCTGAAGTTGGCGCTTAACCGACTGAGCCACCCAGGCGCCCTACATCTTTTAAAATCTTTTGAGTTCATTATTATTATGCTTTTCCTTCTTTTTTCATCTTATTCATATATTCATATCTGTTTCCTGACGACCCACTGTAGGCCATGTCCTCTAAGTAATTTTTAAAATGTTGCTTTTGTCTGTCATTCTGATCTTTGTCCACTGGTTTTAATTATAATTTGTTAAATGGAAACCTTTTTAAAAGGCAAAACAAAGTAGCAAAGCAATTCAAGATACTACTTAAAGTCCCAGTTGAGGGAAAGAGCTATAAACTTACATCTTGGAATATTATATAGCCAAAGAATTTGTGGTAACATGGGGGTAAGGTTTACAGATCAGTAAGTTAAGTACAATTACAATATTCTACAAATAGTGCGAGTTCAAATCTCTGCTTTTTAAAGCATACAGAAAAGACCAAATGAAGCAGTCCAGATTATTCTAGTTTTCACTGAATGGTAGGCTCACGGATAATTGTGCCTTCTTCCTGCTCTTCAGTTTTTCTTCGAATTTTTTTAACGGGCATATGTAACCAAGGGGAAACATAAAATGCCAGCATAAAATATTTTATGTGTGTTGCTTTTTAGACGATAAGGTGAAGAAATAGGGACTGAACCGTTTAACTGTTAACTGTTAAAATCTGGTAGTTATATGAACACTATCAAAAGAGTGGGAAGCACAGAAGAGAAGACATTTAATTGTGAATGATTTGGAATTTATATGAAATTTAGATATACAATACTTGCATTTACTTAAAAATGTCTGAGTTCATTAGCATTTACTTTGAATGTCAGTGGGTCAGGTTCATCAAGATCATAAATAAGGTAATGATAATCTCAATAATAGATATGCCAAATGAATGGATTCTCGTCAAGTGCTCTGATTGACAGTGTTCTGTGGTCTCTTATTAGCGGGTGCCATTCTGTGATGAACATACCTGGTAGGGAATGTGTGTGTGAGCGTGTGGGAAATAAGAGAGTATGAAACTTGTTATTTCATCTTGTTCATTGAACTCTGTCTAATCTCATTTTAGGAGAATGACATCTTCCTGGGCTGGGAAAAAGGAGCTTATAAGAAATGGGGAAAGAGTAAGAAAAAGTGCTCAGATCTAACTCTAGAAGAAATGAAAAAACAGGCTGCTGTCCAGTGTCTTCGTTCTGCTTCTGATGAAGTAGGTTTGCATTTTGTTTCTAATACTTACGAGAAGAAGAAAGAGGCGGGGCGGGGGGTGGGGCTAAAGGTACACAAATGCAACGTCTTGACCAAAACAACTTAGAAAAATAAACTATTCATTGTCTTACCACTGTGATGTGAACACGGTCCTTTTTTCCTTTTTGGCATTTTTCTTCATAAGTTGAGTTTTATAAAGTACATTCTTTCATAAGTGCTTTTAGAGTATACACAAAATTTTATGTCCTTTTTTTCCGATTTAACATGTTCTATCTTCTTACGTTATCTTCATTCTTTTTAGTGGCTAAGTTATATTTCCTCAAGCAATATTCCAACAGCAATATAATATACTCTTTATTACTGGCTATTTACTTAGTTTTTTTTTTTTGGGGGGGGGAGTTATCTCTACGTTCAGACTCCTGACTCCCAAGATCAAGGGTCCCATGTTCTTCTGGCTGAGCCATCCAGGGGCCCCTACTTAGTTTGCTCTTGAGTTTTTGTTACGCTCTCCAGAGTGTTTCCACGTGTGGCTTTTCCGTGTCCTATATTACTTTTAGCTGCATTCCCATAAGTGGGGTAGCAGTGCTGGTATTTTAAGGACACTGTCTTTGTTTATGATTCATAATTTTTTGTTTGTTTTTTAGAAAGTATCGTAAGATTTTTTTTTTCAGCTCCGTGCCTGTCGCGTTGCTCTACGAACTGAGCCAGCCAGGTGCCCCCTATAAGATTATTTTTATCCATCTTCTAATACTTCACGTAAAATATTTCTCCTGTCCTTCATGCTGACAGAACAAAATAGATTTAGAGTAAAATCACCCATTTAGATTAATACTATGCAATTCTTATTACTCAGGACAAGACGTACTCTTGAGATCATAACCACTTAGAAAATTATGTTGCTTTCACCACTGTTTGTGACGGTGCGGTTCGAAAAGTACCTTTGTAAAGCAGAGTCGAATTGGGAGGATTCATACAAGTTACTGAAACTGCCTCCTGAGCTGAGTCCTCTAAAGGCTGATGTTGGGGTAACCAGGGTTGCTACATCTGATAATCTACAGAGGTGTATTCTTTCTGGCTGCCGCCCACCACGCATGCCTCTTGAGGTTTGTTCAGTGCTTCCCGGCAGTGTGTTCTCCTCCTGCTCAGAATCGTCTGTGAGAGCCCAGGCCCCTGGCGTGGGCTCCCGCTGCCTCGTGCTGCCTCACGTCCTCCACTGCGGGTGTTCGTCCTGGCTCCCCTTCGTCACCGCACTCACTGTGCTCCTCGGGGACTGAGGCTGTGAGCTGCCCGTGTGTTCATGTCCTGGTACCTAACTGAGCGAGTACGATCACTGGCGGTACCGAATTTCTCTCGAACGGAGTTGAATGCTCAGGTGTTTAAGGAGTGTTCCTTGTCGTCCTGCCCTTGTCCTCTCCCTCTGTTCTCCTCTCCCTTCCCCACCCCTTTGATTTGTTAACCTCTGATCTCTCGAAACTGCTGCCTCGTAGACTGTGGGATAGGACTTTGGAAGTGACCGCTCATGGGTGGTCTTGATCAGGTACCGCTTCGTTTTGGCAAGTGGGACGTAATGAGCCTGGTCTAAGGACTGGGAATACACCTGCAGCACACAGGGGACTCGCGACGCCGAGTGCTGGAGACGCAGGGCCGGAGAAGCGGCCTGAACGGCCAGCAAAATGATGGACAGCCAGAGTCATTTTCTCTAATGAGCCACAATCTCTCCTTCGCTTCTCTCTCTGCTTCTGGGTCATTCCCTCTCGGCTGAAGGCTGGTGGAAGCTGGGACCCAGCACCTGTCACCTAGGGAGAAACACAAGTGGCCGGGAGTCCACCGGTTTGGATGCGTGGCAAGGAGGGGGCAGAGTTGCCTGGGGGGTCCCGTCCTTGAGCAGGGGCAGTGCTCACACAGAGACAAGGGGGTGGTCGGATGCTTCCTCAAAAGCCATTTTCTACCCGACCCAGAAGGGAAAGTAATTTGGAGTTTAAAATGCAGGTGCCTTTTTAAAGGAGAGGTTAGTTCAGGTAAATTCTTTGAGCAAATTCCAAAGAAGCTGCTGAGTCATGGTTGGGAGGAGAATGCGAGTTGAGGGTTTCAGTCTGGGAAGGGATCTTATTTCTGCTTTGGACCAGAGTTGCTGTGAAATGACTCTTGCCTGGACTCATGGCGGAGGGAAGCTGAGTGGAAAACAAGGGCGCCCCGAGCGAACGGTCGAAGAATGAGGAGTGTGGGCCCCTGCTCCCCGGCCTGCTGAGCTCTCGGCCGGTTGATGCTGGCCGGGCGTGGCAAGTGCTGGCGGCCCCTTGGTACGCGGTGGACAGACTCAGTGCGGCGCAGACGGAGGAGGGCGGTTCTTGACATTGTTGCTTTGCAGAAATGCTTTTCTTTGCTGGGAAGCCAAAGCTGGGAGTTTTGTTTACAAACCCAGTGAAGTATACTTGTCCAGTTTCTTCTTATTTTGTAAAATAATTGTTGCATTGCTTTTTCCTAATGATTGTTTTTAATCCTATCAACTGAAAATCAGCCGAGGAAACGAACCCGCCAGGCATGTGCCAGGAGCTGGGTGCGAGCTTAGGGAAGAGCTTAGGGAACGAAGGAAGCGGAAGAAGGAAGTTCTCAAGCCCCGCCTGCCTTGTTCGGACCGCCCGCTGTGATGTGTGTGCATCAGCACAGCGTCCTCAGGCGGGCTCTCCTGGCTTTTGGGGAGTCAGTGGAAAGAACCTGGGGGGGAAAATCCTCTTTCTTTGTGGCCTGTAACAACAGAAGGGAATCACTGTGCATGTTCATAAACTATAGGCTATACGTCCCCAGGCTTTTCTTTCTAGACTCTGCCTGCTGGCTGCAGTGAAAATAAAGGCACAAAGAGGTCCTACCTAGGAAATTAGAACGCTAACGTTTTGCTCTCTGTTTGGGCCACAGTGAATGTTGGCCTATGGGTGTGATGTTCATTTCCTAGGACTGAGGATGGTGATGTACGTGGTTCCGCGCTTTCCCACCCAGCCACTGCCAGCTGATCAGAATCAAAAGCCGCTAGACAGTTTACAGTCTGACGGAAATGCTAGTGATGTAACCGCGAGGGTAACCTGAGTGCTGCTATCGTTCTGTTGGGTAGGCCAGTAGAGGTGAGGTTAAGCGTTACCCTGGGACATGAGTTCTTTTCTCGTGACTTCCACGTGTGCCTGTGTCACGATTACAGGTACGGCGTTAGTCGTTGCTGTAAAAGCAGCCGTGGCATCAGACTCCAGTGCGTCATGGTTGCCGTGGAGAGGCTGACTTCCCGGACTGTGCCTCTCCATGCTCGTGATGTGACTCTGTGTCTCCTTCCACTTTGTCCCTGCGACAAGTTGTGCCCCACATCACAGCTTTGACCTGCTTACCTCAATGTTTTGTCACAGAGGCATCACCAAAACAGCACGAAACACAGTTATGTCAAACTTAACTGTACACGTTGTTAAAATTTGACAAAGAACTTGGGCGGTTGGTGAGTGTTTATTCCTCCAGGAGATCATGACCCTCACGGGCCTTGCTGTTTGTTAGGTTCTGCTGAAACTGCCTCTGCCAGTTCCCTTTGCTTGCACGTGCAAATAACACACAGTTCTCTGGCCAGCCATTTTCTTTTTTTTTTTGAATGTTTATTTTTGAGAGAGTGTGTGTGTGAGCAGGGAGGGGCAGACAGAAGGGGAGAAAGAGAGGATCCCAAGCAGGCTCTGTGCTGTCGGCACGGAACCTGATGCGGGGCTTGAACCCACAAACTGTGACATGAGCTGAGCCGAAACCTAGAGTCGGACGCTCAACCGACTGAACCCCCCCCCCCCCCCCCACCTTCCCCCAGCCCTTGACCATTCATTTTCTGTAGCATGCTTTGCACCTGCTGTGGCTGCATTGTAACAGGGCCTGTAATGGGGCTGGTGCAGCTCACACGTCCCCCAAATGTGCTTTTATTAAGTGATGCTTTCCTGAGCTCTCTGTCTCTGTTGTTAGTGGACGCGGCATGTGCCTGAGGTTGAATACATCCAGATCCCTTGCCCCGTTTTAAGAAACATAAAAGAGTGTTGAGGTTTGTCAGCTATCGTTATTTACAATCCTCAAGTTTAGTTTGCTCTGCCTTCTCTGTCCCCAGGGTTCAGGCTTTTCATATTGTTTTAGTTTTGTTTTCATAATAAGTAGTTCTATTTCTGCTTGTTTTAATGGAGCTTCTGAAAACTGCACTAAAGGTGGTAGTTCGCCGTCCATTTGGGGGCGTCCTTGGAAGATGAGCTGCACCTGGCCGTCGGGGGGCCGTAAGTGAGGCTCAGAGGCAGTATAGCTTTACGTTTTGGGTGTCGTCCTGCCCCACCCACCCCATCGAAGAGCCTCGCAGAGGATTGATGCCCCGGCTACAGCGGGGCCCTTCTTCAGTTGCTCATGTTCTCACACTGACCGAAACCCGCCAGTAAGAGTAATACTCCATCGTAGTATTTGCATATGTGTTGTTCGTAGGCTGTGCCGGGTTGGATATACAAGATACAAAAACCATGTTACGTGTTTCCTGGCAGTTTACTGTTAAAGTTAACTTTGACGATGTATTTGCACACTGACTTCTGAACTTAACTCGTTCTGGATAATAAAACAAGGATCAGAACAATGGTAACTAACATTTATGGAGCACTTACAATGTATGAGATTCTGAGCTGTGCAAGAGGTGAGGCTGTGCTCCCCCTGTAGGCCAGACCCCTGAGAAGCCCGTGGCTAAAGCTGAGAAGGCTCACGGTGGCTGTGTGGTCACAGCCAGCCCTGCCGAAGAAGCCTTGGCCTTATCTTCTCACTCTAGGTGGAGGGAGGGGCATTCAGGGGCACCTGGAGGCCGTTGGGAGGGTTTTGGCTCTTCCTCGGGGAGGTGGCAGAGGGCTGGAGGGTCTGGAGCAGAGGCTAGTGTAACCTGACTTTGACACTGATAGGGCCCCATGGGCCGCTGGGCTGGGGGTGGTGGGGGGGCAGGGGAAGACTCCGAGAAAGCAGTGGTCTGGA